AAAAAAATAACGCTCTTCCTACCCGACTGAAGAGACACATTTAATCAGGGAGCACTTCTCTTTGGTCCCCAGGGTGAACCCTGGATGTACGTTCCATCGTTTAGTGTCAAAAAGAAAGCGCTGTAATTTACTTAGAACATATTTTCTTTACATGGACACTGAAGGGAATTTATGGAGCTGATTTAAATGATATGAACAAAAGCTCATCTTTCAAACCGGCAGTCTAAATCCCACAGGGATCAACGAACGCTTTTCATTCCACTAATTTATTCGTGTTTTTCTCGTTGCCATGTTCCCACCAATAACGTAGCTCCATTTTCTGCCTTTAAAAGCACACACAACCCACAATTCCTCTATTCGCTCCGACGAAGGGCTAACGCTCGAAACGTCAGCTTTTGTAATCGTTACGGTGGCCAATTTACCATTTCAACTTTGTTGATATATCCAAATTATTTCGTTACCCCCACCGACGCAGCCCCAAACAGTTTCTTTAGAAACTATCAGCCTTTGAAAACATTCTGCTTCTATACCAAAACAATGACCTGATCAGTGACGTGCATTTTATAATATGATGAGCACCAGTCATATCGCATTAATAATAGATATCATTCGATAAATTTTGGTGTTTCGTCCCAGCCAATGCATTATTTCTAAGGATAAAAGCGTACCTCTCTGCATGGTCTAAGAATACAACAGAATCGTTCATAAATATGAACGTTTTAATAAGACGATGAAAAACAGGTGGTAGCGATTTGAGATGTTTCTGTACATTTGCATTTTCCTTAACTAAATGGGAGCACATAAAACCTGTATTAACAATTCAGAAAACGAAAGCACAGTAGCCTCGATGAAAGTACTGTTTCGATATCACATCGATAGAACAAAATTTACTAGCATGTAAGGAAGACCTGAAAAGAAAAAAAAAGCTTTTTCGTGAGTGAATTGATCCCCATTAAATGTCGCGACTGACGATTTCGAAAAAAAGTAAATAAATAGAAAGACTTAAAGAAAAATAAGATCCTCACCTCACAAAACTGTTTTTTGGGGCTCGGTTGATTCACAAATGAAACATTAAAAAACAAAATTGTTGTGTAGTGTTTCTTCACGCGATGAAATAAAACTGAACCTCAGGTCATTGTGAGAAACACAACAATAACTGTGGAAACGAAATTAGCACAACAATAGTCTTTTAGTTTCTGTCACGAGATCTGCGTCATATCCTGGTATCGGCCTGATTTTAATCACTGATTCAGGCGATCATATTTAGTTTCGGTAAAAAAAATGGATAATTCCCCTATTACTATGAAATGATACAAAGAAACTGACGCTCGCAAATTATTATAGGTTAAATAACAATTTTCAAAGAACTGTAATTGCTTTAATATTTAAGCAACCCACGTACCGAGAATTTCCTTTTACCGCAAAACCAGTGGCTTAAACTATTTTTGATTTTTAAATGTTTAATGTTGAAACCATGGTGAGCATCGCATAACAACAAAACTTAAACACTTCCTCAGCTCATTTTCACACCAGTTTCTTCTGATGACTACCACAGACTTCGCCGAGTGGTCTACCAGCAAACATTAAGAATTCTATTTATATCCATACAAGGTGGCACAAGTTATGTCAGTCCTTTCAAGGATCCAAAGGACAGCTAGATTAAAACACCCATTGAATACGCTCATAATAGGACTAAAAAGTTATTTAGAAGGCGACTTCATATTTGAGTTTGGGTTCAAGGATTTAACGTTGAACAATAGAGCCCAAATAACTTGAACAATTGAGGAAGTAATTTCAACACTGACAACAAAAAGAAGAACAGTAAATACAACAGGTACGAAAATGGACAACACTGAAACGATCGAAACACTAAAATAACTAAATAAACCACAACAACAAACTACTTACATGGCGCTTATACCATACAAAGGTGCAAACAATGACCGAAGATAGACGACAAACGATCGAAGCACTAATATAACTAAATAAACTACAACTACAGACTACTTACATGGCGCCTATACAATACAAAGGAGCAAACAATGACCGAAGTGAACAAGTATCATGTGATATTGTACCAAACCACACTGTTTTACATTTAAGCGTGTATCCTGTAAGTCTTTATACTGTAAGAAACCTGTTCAACACGCTATCCCGCTCGCTCTCATCTAACCGAAGCATTTCTTTTATAACTCGTTTCAATTTCGACAGTAATTTCGTAACCGCAAACGATTATCTAAAGGCACGATTTTCAGAAAATAATCCACGTAGAAAATGGTCGAAAATAGTAAAGGTTGTGGATTTCTATTTCAGCGCTTTCTCTAATGCTTAAAAGTCCTCACATTATTGCATAATATGGCTCGATCCTGGCCCTCAAACAAACTTTACTTACAACTAAGTTTCTTTGCTCATCATCAGAAGGCTTTGTCAGGTTTTGAGGAAGCTTATGGCTAATAATATTTGGTTACCCTTTAAACTGCGAGTATTGAAATTTGGCAGC